TAACAACAGGTGCGCTGCAGCTGATAATAGCCTACGCAGACAACCGCAAGCTATCACCGGAAACTGGTACAAATAAGTAAATATATAGTGGCAAAGGTTTGCTGGCTACCTAAAAGTCGAAATCAATATTTGAGCTGTAAATACAGAAGAATAAATGATTAACCGTAATGAATTTTTGTAGTAACCATGAGGCGGTAAACTGGAGCCACCTTGTTTACAATATGACAAGAAGCACAACATATGCAAGAATTATCGTCTAAAGCAACATGTTCGCGCGAAAAAAAGGAAAAGTGAACTAAAAACTGTAACAGTTGACTAACTCAAGGAAATATGAAAACCAAAAGTGTTCTAACTAAGACCTAAGGGCGGGCGAATTCAGTATGTGAGCACCCACCTGAAAAGGAATTTCTACTATTGGTCGGCAGTGCTACTAAGGAAAGTGCATGCAGCTTTTTCTCCAACAGCAGATAATTTTGTTGGAAAGATTTCCACTTTTCTGGTGCATACTTAACGAACAGTCCCCAAACATATCCAGAGACAGCAGTTGACAGTAATACATAGTGGGGTACTAACCGTATATTACGCGAGAGGACTTCTATTAATAGTCTTGTGAGAAAATTAAAGTGAATCTACTGGGAAGGAAATTAACTCGCTACTTCACCATGCAAAAAGATCACTGGAAGAGGTGAACGGGGTCAGGAGCAGTTACCTTTTTCGTCTTAGGAATCTTCTTGACCTCTGTGTAGACATCGGCAAGATTCATTAAATGACCTTCCATTATTCCTGGAAAGATAGAAAGATTAACGTGTCAAGGGTTCATCTAATCAGAGAAAAGGGAGACAATACCGGAATTGTGGATCAGAAAATGTCGAAAATTCCAGGGTTTTCTCCAAGCTAGAACGTCTAAACTTATCTTTAGTCATTTAGCAAACTGTGCACACCCTATGAGCTTTTCACTGAGGACACCAAAGCCAGTAGGCAGGTTTTGAGGCGAGTATTATTGACCTCACTCGATGGTTTTCTGTGGGTTTCTACCTATCTCCATACAGTAATTCTGCTATTTACTAACATCGACTGTCAGGGCTCTGCTACCAAAAGATTACGCTATTGACGACAACTCCAGACTAACGCTGGAAATCCGTAACTCGGACAAGACCAGTCAGTCAATAGGGCTGCTATAATGCGGCAATGGCGCTCCTTTGCGCCACCTAATTGCCTGTTGCCGTGTAAGATGGCGGGTTTGACTATGCGAGATGTTGGGCAAACAGAGTGCCTGCACGACGACTGCCTTTTTGCAAAGACACTTGATGTTACCTATTTGGTTCTCGCCTACTTTCCGAAAAATGAAAGGACGGAAGCAATTGATTTATGGGCCTATTTAAAGTTTTATGAGAAACAAATAACTTATGAAATGAAAAGTTCGCGGTAAACATCTGCTCTGTCTTTGGTCAGCAGAGACTAGCGTAAATGCCCTAGATGCAACGGCTCATGAATGGAAATCGAAGAAATCAAAATCGTGTCCAGATTAATTATGCAGGTGGAAGTGAAACACAAACAGTCAAGGATAATCCAGTAAGCCGGAATTGAACGAAATTTAAAATTGCCAAAATACAATACAAAAAAAGAAAAGGAAATCGGAACTAAGAATAGTGTTGTGGAAGGAATTTACTTAAGAAAAAAACCACAAGTTCATGAAAACACAGAATCTTGATACTAGACTGAGTCAAAAAATTCCCGCCAATTTCGCCCACACTGCTTCTAGGCAAAAGAAAGTACAAAAACAAAACAATAGCATTTGTGGATAGAACCTCGAATTCTTATGATTGCATGTTTTCGCTTCGCAGAGTTCGAAAAATTTACGAAACCGCAATTAATTTTTTCGCCCTTGCACTTCCGATTTAACAGAAGTGGGCATATTTGCTTCGGCGTTAGGTACATTAACTCTGAATGATAGTAACAAGATATTGCATTCGCCAATTTCAATGAAGTCATGTGGAGGCACCGGTCCCTGGCGCAATATCTGCTTAATACGCCTTTGTTATGCCCAGCACAAATAGGCGTTAGCCGCACTACCGACCACGATCTCTTTAAAATGTACCATAATAACCAAATTATCTCAAGCAAGACCATCCTTATGATGGAGATTGGACTGCGGGCGGAAAGCCAATGGCTATCATCAAGTCAACGCTCCAGAAGCAGTGGAGATTCTACGCACTGTGTTCTGTGTCCCAGGAAGAATTTAGAATACTGCTTTTTAATTTTTTTGTCGCTTCACAACAGAAAGAACGTCCATACGGCATACAAGTTAAATTTATTCGAAAAGTCGATCTGAAAACAGCAAAAGAGCATAAAATTTCGTTTGATAGTAGGAAGAGACATTTACCCAGGAGCTTAACGGACCCAGATACAAATAGTCTTAACAGTCACCCAATAAAAGACCTGTATCCGTAATTACATGTTTATATATAAATACTAGTTAAACATGAATATTCAGAAAATTTCATTCGGAATTACAGTAGTACTATTCGGGAAAAAGGCAAATTCGTAATTAAGTCACTATTTTTCGGATTAAATTTTTAGGTTGAACTAGCAAAATTTTCGTGGCGATAAGCTTGTGGGGCCTACCATTCAACATCAATAAATTGGATACGGATAACTGCGTCAAGGCTTCAATTATGGGCAATGCTCAAGTTGTGGGTGCACGAACGTATGATGCTTAGAACACCACCCAGAAAAACTGAATTTAAAATAAATATAGTAGTGCGATCACAGCTTCCTCCCATAAATGTGCTTATTCTACCTCAAAATAAATATCGCTAAGTTAAGTCATTTGCAGGAACTCCCCCCAAGCATTTGA